AAATTCAGCTTTGCCATCACAGGAATAAATTACAATTTAAAATATTAATATTAAAACAGAAACGTAATATCTGAAATAGATATTAAATTGTGATGATATTTTAAAATATTACTGATTGTATTGTATTTTTGCTCAAACAAATGCAGCCTTTGTGAGCATAGGGACTTAAAGAATTTGAATGGCATTGTAATTAAAGAAAAATATATTACTGTCATTTGACAGTTCGATTAAAATAATGAATCAAGTAAGAGATTAAAAAAAATGCAGCAAGTATTCATGCAAATATTACTTGCAGTTCATTTTTTACACTGGAAATAGAAGGTAAAGCACACTGCATCGTGAAATACACTATATAGCACAGTATTATTTATTATATAGTCATCTCAGTATTTCATACATACTTTGCATAGTATACATATCATATACTGCAGAAATAATAGCATGGCAGTATGCTATTCTGCCTTATTATTAACACTGCACTGCCCCCTGCAGGTCGCAGATGGAATGGCTTACATCGAGCAGAAGAATTACATCCACAGAGATCTGAGAGCTGCCAACATTTTGGTGTCCGATGAGCTCATCTGCAAGATTGCTGACTTCGGCCTCGCCCGTCTAATTGAAAATAACGAATACACTGCCAGAGAAGGTAAGGCAGCATCTGTATCATGCTCTGTTATATCCTGTTTTAGGATTATATTACCTGAGAAAGTTTGGCTGCAACACTAGAGATCTAAAAAGATGCCTTAAATCACACAGGTGCAAAGTTTCCTATCAAATGGACGGCACCTGAGGCCATAAACTACGGCACCTTTTCGATCAAATCAGACGTCTGGTCGTTTGGAGTACTTCTGACAGAGATTGTTACCTATGGAAGAATCCCATATCCAGGTAACAAACAAGCTCCATGTGCTTCCTTTTTGAACTTTGTACAGTAGCATTAATGGGAAATGCATTATGGAATCATTTCGTCTCAGAATTTTTATTCCCCACACTGTTACTCTTGATCTTTCAGGAATGACAAACCCAGAGGTGATTGCAAACCTTGAGAGAGGGTACCGCATGCCTTGCCCCGATAACTGCCCCGAGGACCTATATAATATCATGAAACACTGTTGGACAGAGAACCCAGACAATCGACCCACATTTGAGTATCTGCGCAGTGTTCTAGAGGACTTTTTCACCGCCACAGAGAGACAGTACCAGGAGCAGCCCTGCTGAAAAGATTTATCTTAGTAAACTTACAGTCCACGGGGTCACATTAAAGACTTGTATTGAAAAATATTCCAAAATACAGTTAAAGTCATCTTTAGTTAAAAGAAAAAAAAATTGATTTTATGTCTTCTAATTAAAATGTTTTCAATAATCATGATTAACAGTTCAAACATGGATTTTGTCTTAGCTTTGTCCACAGAATTGATGTGTAAAACAGGTGCATGTATAGTTTTTCAGCAGATGGAAAAAGATTTTTATTTTTATTTTTTAATGACAAACTCGACAGGAAAATCTTTGGCTACAGGTGTGCTCTCAATTAATAAATGAACGCCCTGCTTTGTGTTCTTCCTTTGAGCTTTTATTATTTCTTCTTTCTGCTCTCAGATTTGTGATTTTTTTATATAAGCATATATAACTGCATCATGAAATATTGAGCCAGTAAAACAGTCCAAGAGATAAATGGGCCTCATTCTGTCTCATTTCATTTGTTTTGACAAATTGCTTTCAGATTCAGTGACCAATTCTGTTAAATATCTACATCTTCCTGTAAACACTAACTTTGGTGTTTACACATAAAAAAATAAATAAAAAAAATCATGAAACTGATATTTCAAGGTAAAAAAAACTGTTGCTTGACTTATCAGAAGTCAATGTAACAAGAAGAATTTTGAACCTGATATTTCT